AACAAAAGTTAGCTTCATTTATTCCCTATGTTTTCCATGGTCTTCAAGTTTGCTCCTCCAACTAGCCCTTGATGAAGAACTAATTATTTAAAAGCAATATTGACAGGGCTTTCCACCCAACATTATTAATCAAGCAGTTTAAAAAATTCATCTAACACACTAAAAGGCACACTCTTGTTTAGGAGATTAAAAAATTCTGTTGTCATTCCATTCTTTCCATCAATTAGCTATAAAGTTGCACATATTTGCAGAAATTTAACTTTCGGGTTGTTTATTCTCCCATCAATAAATTCCGAGTTCCATACTCAAGGACCCCATTCCGGATATGAATTCCTGGGGTATTATAGGATTCCTTGGCAGTGTGGTTTAATTACATTGGCCAAACTAAGAGAGCCTTAAAATTTCGCGTCAAGGAACAAGCATGTAGAAAAAATGAACACAGAGTCTTTTGGTCCGAAACCACACTTTCAGTTTTTTGCTGCTCAAAATTATTCAAAAAACATCTTCCATGGAGAACTGGATTTTTAGAGGCATTTCACATTCATAAAAATCTTTCTGTTCTAGTTAACGATCCTAATTCCAATCCAAATTTGCCCTTCGCCTTTAAAAGAAATTATGTTTAGTTCTGGTTTCACCAACAGATGGCTCCACTTGCTTATTCTTTCCAGGCTTTCTTACTTATCTAATCATTATTTCCTATCTGGTTCATTTGCGGTTTTGCAGCGAAGATGGTGGGTTCGGTAAAACCATCGAAACTAGTCCTGTGAAAATTTGGTAAATATAACGCTGATTTTTGTTGTTTGACTTCTGAATTAGTTATTATATGTTGTTCTCAAAAACATATTGTTGTGCACATGGGAAAAACAATGGCACAAATTTCAAAGAGTGTATGTGTCTGGATAGAAAAAGGAGGATATAAAACAGATGGTACTGGGTACGTTACTGAAATAGATGTAAAGATACCCAAACAAATGTTTCTTCCCAAATTTGGTTGCAGGTTCAAACACATAGATTTTTGTTGGGGGAGTGGATGATGAGAAAGTACTAAATTTTGTAATCTTTTCCTGAAATTTCTGCAGTCCTTCTGGTTCTATGGCTATTTTTTTCCTTTCAGTGTCATTGATTTCTTTACAATAAATGGTCATTCTGTTACAAGTTACCATGTGCTTCTCTAATTTTTCATCAGTATGTTATTTTTTTATCGTTTTTCTTATCACTATGGAGGTGAAGATGAAATGCTCAAAGATGTAAAAGATTTATCCCGAATGGTACTTTCCGTTTTTGCCGGCACAGGCAATAAAGCCACCAATAGTGGTACAACTGATGCCAAACGGAATATCCTCTCTGGTAACCTTTTATGCCTCATTTTCAAAACAAATTGCAGCCATTTCTAATCTGATTGATTGTTTCTTTCAATACTGGCACAAAATCACACAGAATTTTTGCCAGATAGCTCAATTTTATGCCCTAAGGCCATACGCGGCGGCAAAACGGAAAAGTACTGTTTTTATCTAAGCATGAATAATAACATAAAACAAATATCCTAAATGTGTCATTTTTAGATTTTATGCGATAATAAATGAGTTTCTTGATAAGGTCATCCATAAAAGTAAAAATTATTTGCACATTGAATGATCATTCTGATATCTGAAGCAAATAAAAATTTGTATGTTAAAAACGAAAATAGAATAATAGTACTTTTCTAATAGGTTCTTAAATATACTTAAAATTACTTAGAATTTTTACCAAATAGCTTAAATTTATGTCCTAAAGCAATTCGCGGTGATTAAGTCAATTAGGATGCAATCACATCACTTACCCAAAGGTGAAAATATAGAAAAGGATTAAATTCATCAATTCTAATGAGAACGAACGAAGTAAAGCAATGCAGTTTTATATGATTTCTGAGTAAGCTATTCATACAAATTGAAATAATTCTTGCATTTTAAACTTGTATTCTAAATTGTAGTGTAGAGAATTAGATTTTTGTAGTGTAGTTCACGTGAGATGAGATCACTTGGGGTCACGTGATATGAACCGGCAAATCAGGATGTTGAACCATGAAAGCATAGTAAATTTAAATTAATGTCGTTTACAAATTTATTGTCTTTTTTATTGACTATAAATTTATTTTTTATTGACTATTTATAAAATTTTAAATGATATTAAAATGTTTATGCCTTCAAGGTAAAAAAATTCTTAGAACTAACATTTCTTAACATTTTTTATGTGTATACTGTATCATGTCACCAATAAAGTCTGCTTGGCGAGATTTGCGCCGGCGAAACGGAAAAGTACCTTCTGAATATTATATTAAAAAAACTTTTATTACTCTTTTGATAATAAACATAATTTTATTAGTTTGAAATTGTCTTACTTTATTATATCATTTTGTATGTACACTGTTTATTATATATGACTTATTTGCTAGATGTGCTTTACCCATGTGGTTCATCTTTCTTGTTATGATAATATTGGGACTTTTACCAATTTATTTATGTTTTACCATATTATTATTAGTTTCTTTTACCATTTTATTATTTAAAAGATTTCTAGCAGAAAAATCATTTTCATATAAAATGCAGTCAACATTAAAATAGTTCAACCACTTGGGGATTGCCATCTGTTATAAAGCATTTTCATGAAATTTTTGTTAAAATTGTTAATGATTTTCTGCATCATTTTTACTAAGTACATAACGAAATGTAATGCACTTAATCTATTCTTTTACCACATCAATTTTCATTGCATTGAATTTATAAATATTTTGAATAAAATGTCAAAACGTTGCTTTCAAAAATATTTGTTTAGAAGAATGTAGATACAGCATTGTATTTTAACCATTTGAAGGATACTTATGCTGTTGTGGAAATTTTTCAAAAGCACTGATATGGATAACTCAGCCAGATGTTGAATATAAAATTAAATTTTAGAATTTTATTACTTTAAACATGCAGTTAATTGATATAGAGCTTTAAATTCCAGAATATTATTTATTTTTTAAGTAAAAAAATTACTAATATTTTTTTGCAGTTTATTATTGTATGTAGAGTTTTTTGCGAATAATGTTATAAATAATGAACAAGATATAGTATTATTTTTCCTCAAACAGCATCACCACCATCTTATCAGTCATTATTTGGACAAGTGCGTGAAGCAAGGAAAAATTCTAGTAGTTTTGTGGAGTTTTTGAGAAAAGTTATTATATTACTTCTTGGAACAAGTAAGTTAATGACATAAAATTTTTAATAACTTTCCTTCTTTTTAATTTTAAATGCTTTTGGTTTGTGAAGTGGAATAATATGAAGTCATATTTTAAAAATTCAATAAATTATTTATGCAGAAAAGATGATGTAGTGTTTTAATCGTACAGTGTTAATTTTACATGCGATAGGTATAAAAATGCAGTGTTATATAACCCATGATAAAATTTAAAATTTATCATTATAATATAATAGCTCAGTATTTCTCAAACTGTCATCCGCAGATCGCTGAAGGCCCTCATACCCTGCCCATTTAGTCCTTGTAGATTTCCAAAAAAAGATAAAAAATAAAATTTAACTGCATATTCTGTATTACACACACATAACAATTATCTATCACATTTTCAAGACTGACATTTTATGAAATTTTATTAAATGCCTTTAAGCTTCCATTATTGCAAGGTCTTCATAATGCGAGTGAGAAACCCATTCACAGGTGATGGCATATTACTTCCAGTTACAAAAGATGTAATTGAAGCAATGTTTAGTGAAAAATCATCTAAGGATATAAATTTAATGTCACTCTTAAACAATACAGTTGCAAGCTGAATCAGTGATATGATTAATAAAGTAGAATCTGGACTTATCAATTGAATGAAAAGAAATATTTACTATCGCTTTAAATAGATGAGACAAAAGAAGTTTTGAATGATGCATATTTGACTTATTATGTCAAGTATGAGATCAACAGTAATATTCATGAAGATGTACTATTTTTGAAGACTGCCAACTCATACAGCTGGAGAACAAATTAAGTCCTATATGAATATAAAGTCTTATATGAATGCATGCAAGAGCTTAAAATTGATAGTAAAAAATATGTAAGTTTTTATTAGGATGAGGCTTATGTCCTCACTGCTAGGCATTGGAACATAATTGAAGTTAGAGCTGTGGCATCTGATGTTACCTGAGCCTTTTATTTTATTCACTGGGCAGCCTTGTGGCGTAAGGTATGTCATCTAAATTCAGAACCATGTTAAAAAACAATATTAAGATAATCAGTTTTATCAATTCTATATTAAGATATAGAATTGATATTAAGATAATCAATATCATTCAATATTAAGATAATCAGTTTTATCAATGCAAAGCCATTCTGAACAGGAGAATATTTTCGTTACCTTATGGCAACATACTTAGCAAACACAAGCAGCATCTCCTTCATTCTGAAGTTTGCTGGCCTTTACAGAATAAAGTACTCACAAGGCTGTTTGAATAAGACCGGAAGTTCTGTTTTTAGTAAACAAAATTAACAAAGATTTTACATCTTTTTCTACTGATGACACATGACTTAGTATATCAGTGTGATTTTTGTGATTTTTCCTTAATTTATGATAACCAGTGTATTTAACTAAATAAAGAATGATTTGCTCTTTTAAACTTTTACCAAAATGATTGATGCAAGTTTAGTGACATCGCCACCAAATTTATGATCAGTAGGGTATTTCATAATCAGATAAGATGTTTCGCTTTCATATGTAAATTATATTGGCTTTTATGTCTGAAATGCAGTTTTTTCCCTGAACTTTTTCATAATTTTAAATGAACATGTTTAATATTTATGTTGATAACAATTAAGATGGTAGTTTTTTAAAATAGTTTTAGGCATGCAATTTCTTCTATTAATTTGGCTTTTCTACCATAAACAGCATTTTTTTTATATGCTCAACTATCCAAAATTTTCCCATACCTGGCATTTGGCATTTCTTGAGCTTTCAGGATAGTTGAGCTTTTACTTGTATACTTACCTTTTTATGAGCTTGTAAAATGTGTAGGAACAAAATTGATCCAACAAAAGTATTTAGCTTAAGGAATACATCCATGATGCATATACATATGTGTGTGTAGGTGTATTTAATATATCTATATATATCTATATATGTTACGTCGATCAGTTTTTTATATGTGTTAACTTTTCACTTATCACATCGATAGGTTTTTACTGTAACGATTGATTTTAACAGTTTTTTATCTGCATTTTATTTCGCACGTAGGCTCATTTTTCACCCTTCAATGTCATTATTTTTAAAAAATACTGCGTTGAACTATTTCTTGGAGCCACAGCTCCTGGTAACTTTTTGGCAAACTCTCTACAATTTTTCTTCCTATTATTTCATAATTTTTGCAGCATATTGCACAAACATTTTTTAAGACCAAATAGGTCTTACAGCACAATACTTATTAGCTTTTCAATTATATATATATAATATATATATGAATGATAGAAATTTTGTATGACTGACATTGATTAAAGTTGCTGAATAGAGATGTACAGTAGACAGTGCTTAACCACTTGCGCTAAAATGCACGTCGAGATGCTTTTGTCTCAAACCACGAGCGACGTGAACACCATGTCGATAGGCATGTATCACAAAAATGAAAATAACGTGGTGCACACGTCGCCTAACAACGAGATTGTTTATTTCTCAAGTTACAGCTCTGGATTGCACTCGCAGACGCGGAGCAGCGTAAATGAGACACTTTACCGCTTGTTATATTGTAGCTCACGACACCGCAACCGTGAAGTTTAGTCGAACGCAAGTGGTTAATGTGACTACAGTAAATGTTAACAGTCAGATATTGTTATCAATTTCCAAAGTCCGGTCCTTTTTATACAAAACATGAAAAATATATTGCTAAGTGTGGTCAACAATTCAGTTAATATGATCTATATATTATAGAATAAATGTCTTAAACTGAAGTAAAGTCATCAAATAAGTTTGAAATGTATTACAAAAATTGCCAAGTTTCAAAGAAATATCACCAAATAAGGTCTCAGAAATTATCTACATTGCCTAATTTTGTTTATTGCCTAATTTAGTTGGTTGTTTATTGCCTAATTTTGCATTTTACATTATCAAGTTCTGTTCCAGTGAGGGATGCCTCCCTCACCCCAAGTATTAAGATTAGGGCTACAGCATCAGTCAAAATTCCAGAAATGTTATGAGCTGTTCATAAATGAATGTTTGCCTGAAAGATATCATGAACAGGTCATGTAAAAAAATATTGGTATTTTCTAATAAAAATGCTGTGAAAAGTGCCTATTTATATGTTTAGTTATATTTATGTTAAACTAGTTACAGCCATTTGCTGTTTCAAAGGTTATTTTTTTTCATTGTTTAATCTTATCATTCTATCAATATTATCAAAACAGCGATGGACATATGTGATCATATCAAGTGGCACTACTGCTGTAATCATTGTCAGTTGATGCAGTTGTTGGTTTTTGCTTTAACGTTTTTACAGTAAACATATGCAGCTAAATTAACACAAGATGCATGCCTGTTCCTCAGTAATTATCTGTCTACTTTTCATGTGTTCATAGCAATATAATTAGAATAAGAAAAGGTGTGGGCATCTTTGTTTCACAGCAAAGAGTATGTAGGTATTGATACTAGACTCAAAATAGGTATGGTTCAAATTTATGTGTGTTGGCTGATTAAAAGTTTTAATTAATATTTATCATTATCATTGAATATTCAACTTCAGCTTTACTTTTGCTATTATGTATGTGCATCCTGTAAGAATTACGTGACAGGGATTAATTGAAGTGATGCATTAGAGAAATATTTATTATAAGCACAGTGTTATTTTTGGATAGAAAGGCAAAACATTCAAATTAAAAAAAAAAAAAAAAAACTTTAGGAGCTATTGCAAATTAAAGGCAGAATTTTATCTTGTTAGTTATAATCGTATAGGTATATGTATATATAGCTGAAAATTTTAAAGAATGTTATAATTTAATTTGCTGTTTCTGGTTTCTTTTTAGTTTTCATGTAATGCCATGTTGTAATCAATGTTGTTTGTGTATGTAATATAAATTTCGGTTTACTGTATTAATGCATCTTGGTATTTTTCCATCTCTTTCAGTTGGTTGCAGTATAATATTAGGTGTTACAATTGTTGTACCATTCTCAATGATCATTGTTGGTATGACTTTTTATTTTATTTTTTTGCTTTTTATTTTTGATTTTGTGGAGATTTTTCCTGATGACATGAAAGATGTGTGTTAACGTTTACAATTAACGGAATATACTTTTTTAGCATTGGATTGAAATGAAAAGGCTTAATGATTCTGGAGAGGAAAAGGACATTCTGCCTTCTACAGGAGTAAATTATTAATCAAAAACAGCATAATTTGCTTTTGAAGAAGGAAAGACAGCATAATAATTTAATTATTTCCTCAAATGCATTGAGCTTTTTCATATGAAATTAGTAGCACATAAAAGCCTGTATTTTGCCAGTTATTTGTATTTTCATTATAATGCTCTTATTATACATTTTTAAGATCATGATATAATACAGTCATTCAGTTAAGTATAGCAGGCCAACTGATATGTGAAATCACAAAAAATTTTTCAAGAGGTCTCAGGTTGTGCATCCCTATTTTAATGGTATTGTTTTAAACAAACAGAATAAGTTATGCTTGTTATCTGCTTCTCCTAAAATTTCCTTAGATTGTGATTTCAACAGTCCTGTTTTTGATGAATATTTTTAAAAATTAAAGAATTTTTTATTAGTGACCAATAGTTAATTTTTAATAGTGTAAACATTCCTTAAAATGGATGTTATTATTGTAAGTGTAAAATATAAATGCTTAAAAAATTATGCTATTAGTTTAACCACTTAAATTGTTTAGAGTTGATTTTATATTCAAACTTTTTTTGATAAACTTGTTATATGTTAAATATTGGACTGTTTATTAATAATCCATACTATATTATTTTATGTTAAATATTAGATTGTGTGAAATAATAATACATACTGCATACTTCTATTTTCAGGGTTCGTACGGTCCTTAAGAGTCCTTAATTTCGCCCAAAATCGCAAAAGGTCCTTAATTTTAATCTTCTGAAATTTCTGTCTGTTTTTATAACTGCCATTTTGAGTGTGAATAGGCATTTTGGAGGAATATTTTTGGTGATTCACTGACAAATATGGTTATCTTTTGAATGGGTTCATGGGTTATAACTTGTTCCTATTTCTAGTATAAATAGTGTGATATTCGAGTTTCTGGGCAAGAAATAAAAGATAAGCATTTCGACATTATTTAATTTTTTCTAATGAAGAGCTCTTAAATACCTTTTCCCTTTTGTGGATGTAAATTCATTTATTAAGCGGTTCTAAATTTGGCGACTTGTCAGCATTTTGGGCAATTTTTAAGAAAACTTTCCATAGAAAATTTTTAATTACGGGATTTCTGAATTTTTCGATGATTTTTTTAGAATATTAAAGCTCTTAAAGAACTTTTCACTTTTAGGAATGCAAATTCTTTTATTAAACAGTTCTAAATTTGGCAGCTTATGAATATTTTGGTGATTTTAAAATCAATTTCTATAGAAAATATTTAATTCCGAGATTTGTGAATTTTTCAATGATTTTGTAGAACATTATAAATATTAATAAATTTCATGAAAGTAATGATAAAATAGTGAAACATAAGCTTTTCAAAATTATTTCATTTTTTCTAATGAAGAGCTCTTGAACAGCTTTTCGCTTTTGGGGATGAGAATTCTTTTATTAAACAATCCTAAATTTGGCGATTTGAAGATCAGTTTTTATAGAAAATTTTAAATTTGTAGATCTTGGAATTTTTAATGATTTTTTTAAACATTATAACATTGATAGATTTCATTAACCCAAATTTGGAATTTGTTTTATTATCTATTTCATATTTTGTAAAACTTTAGTGAATTTTTGATTAACAAACTCAACGATTTCAAAGTGAGCAATGGCAACACTGTACGAAAAAAAAAAAAAAAAAAAAAAAAAGCATTTTTATTTCCAGCAAGCGAGACTGTGTATCAGAAATTCTAAAGATATACTCTTTTTAAATATTTTGTGATATTGCTGTTGAACTGAATTTTATAATTAAATGCAAAGAACAGATAATAAATAATGGTAACACACAGAAACGTTAAAAAAAAAATGCCCTTTTGGGTGTAATATAAAATCTGAAAGCTTTCAGATGATTATTATTTATGACTTTCTTTCAACATTTTTAGTTTGAATTTGACTGTTCCTGTTTAATTACATCACCATAAGCACTAGTGTATTTTGCTAGCATAAGAACAAGCATTTATGTTCTAAGTTCTTTTCAATAAGATACTTATTTAAACCTTTATCTAACTTTTTAGTTACTTTCTGACATAATGATAATTTATAATGATAATTTTCTTCACATCTGTCGGGGGGGGGCTTTGGACTATTTAACTTTTGCCAGATCAAGACAAACCTCATTAGATATATTATTGAGATGTTGACAAGAGATAAAAGCATGCCGGCACTAGTGGGAACATTGGTTTGCATATAAAATAAATTTCTAATTATTAGAAAAGATGCTTAAAGAGAAGAAAATTAATATAAGTTAACCAAAATGTCTGGAAAGGCTTTAAATAAAAAGTATGCATAAATATTTTGTTGAGTGTTGTTACTACAAAATATAAATGTTTTGTAGCTTTTAATGTGTGATTATCCTATTATCGTTTAAGAATCAATGTTATAAATTGCATGCATTTCAAACTGTGAAATGGTATTAGATTGGGATTTTAATATTGCTTTTTTTAACATATATTTTTTTAAAAAAATTTAATAGTGGCCATGTAAAACTTTAATGACTAAGGGTATTTAACTACTTAATTATTTGTAACTAACTGTTTCAGAATTGGTAGGGGTAATTTTTCACATTGTAAAAATTGTGTAAATTTTTCTTTAGGATTTTGAATATTGTACTCTAAACTTCTTGGAAAGTTTAGAGTGATTTGAAGGCAAGATTTGTAGACCCATGATCCTAGAAAGTTCCAGAAAATTGTGACAAAATGAAAAATGTGTTCATGGTACTAACACCTAATGGATGTATTTTACAGAAAATTTGTGATGAATTTCTTACTTTTTGGAGATTTTTTGGAAGAGCAATGAAAAAATATCAGGATGTTTTACTTCTGATACTAGAAGTCATTTTTTGATTGAACATGTTTACTTTCTCTCCTTTTCACTAGACACAAGCGTTAAAAATATCAAAAATATTTCTTATCATATGGACAGGCATATGTAGAAAGGAATTTTTGTAGTAATAAAGAAATTAAAAACTGACAATTTAAAAAATTCATCTTGTATGTCTTATTGCATCATACATAGGGCTGCACTAGACATTTTCCTACCTGATGCTATCTCTGTGGATCCTAAGTTCTGCTGTCTAGTGCCTTCCTAAATTCTGCTCCCTGTGCCTGTCCTAAATTCTAAACGTTTTGCCATTTCTAGATTTTGTTGCTCGATGTGTCACTAAATTTTAAAAATTCTGCCCTACCGGCTGTGTAACCAGCCCATACCATATATAATTTCATATTTTTTCTGAATGTTCATATTACTAAAAAAATAAAATTGGCAGGTTTTTCTGTACATTCTAAATGTATTTTAGTTTTTTAGAATAACAAAAATCTTTAATTAAATTCAAAAATTCTAAAATGAGGAGGAAACATATTGAAGAAAGAAGCATACATAAAGAGAGAGAAAGTTATTCTTTGAATATATGTACAGTTATTACTATGTAAATTAACTAGTTGTTTATAATTTCAACTTTTATTATAACTTCAGCTTTCCTTTTCCCCACCAGAATGCAAATCATTTAGATAGTTTTTTAATTGAGGTTTCTTTTTTAATTATAAGACAGTGTTTCTGACTTCCACTTGCACACTGCATTAGTTTCTGTCAGCTGTGATAATTTGTAATTATTCTTCTTTGCGTTATCGCTACTGACATTTTAATTTGTTACGACGACAGTTACTGAGGCAACTTGGATTAAAATTAAATTGTATAGTCTTTGACTAGTAGTTGACATTTTTAGTTTGAATTTGACTGTTCCTGTTTAATTACATCACCACGAGCACTAATGTATTTTGCTAGCATAAGAACAAGCATTTATGTTCTAAGTTCTTTTTAAATAACAGACTTATTTAAACCTTTATCTGACTTTATAGTTACTTTCTGACATAATGATAATTTATAATGATAATTTGCTTCATATCTGTCGGGGGGGGCTTTGGACCATTTAACTTTTGCCAGATCAAGACAAACCTCATTAGATACATTATCGAGACATTATCAGTATCAAAATTTACAAAAAAAAAAAAGCTTAATATTTATTTGTTTACTTTATTAAATATTTCTTTCAATGTAAGTTATTTAAGTTGCTTCGTTTTATGTGCTAATACTTTCTCTTTAATTCTATAAACAGACATAATCTCTTGTTCCAGTTACAAAGTTCCGCTGTTCAAGTCCTGTAACTACTGCTGTTCCAGAATACCGACTAACTTGTCAATCGAAATTTGTTTGTTTTCACGAACCTCTTTGTCACTTTCTTCATGCCTTTATTCATTTTTTGCAGCAATTCCACTTTTTGTTTGATGGACATCGAAACATGCTTTCGCTTTGTAGATCCTTGACAGCTCCAGAATCGGAAACTCTTTTTGACGTAATCGAAAGTTCAAGCTTACTTTTTATAAAATTGCTCTAACAGTCTGCAAAAAATAATAAGCCAGATCCAATTAAAAGATTAAGGAACAACGCAATCTGCAACATTAACTGAAATAGATAATTAGATAATTTTAGCCTAGCTTATACCGTCCGTTATCTGCGTTTACGCATGCGCAGAAAGTTTGTAGCTTTGAGGTCCAGATTATGGACGTCCGGATTAAAGACTTCGTACTGTATTATTGGTGTGAAATATTCAATACAACTTGATAAATTTTATAAAGTTGGTTTTATTCTCAAATTTGTTTTATAATTATTTTTATTAAAGTATGTTTAATAATAATACATCCTGCTTACGGATCTGTTTTATTCTTAGGATGGCATTACAAAAGTTAATTCAGCCATACATAATATCTTTAATTGAATTTATTCTGTCTTGTTTTCTGACAGGTCCTTAATTTTTTCATTAATGGTCCTTAAAAGTACTTAATTTCCATGTGCAGGAACCGTGTATTTTGTGCTCAGAATATTATTGCAAGATTGAAATCATTTGTGTAGATAATTGTTTTAATTTCAGGTCTGCTTGCATGATAGGTCCTTAATTCTTGGTTGTTGTTGACAGTCATTAAATGTCCTTAAAAGTATTTAGTTTTTATTTAAAGACATAAGGGTAATTACATATTATCCTGTTGACTGTGAAACTGTCACCAAGCAGTACAATTTAGCACCAGTTATGGATAAATATGAAATAACAGTACACTCATAATATATCTGCACTCTCGTTTGATGTAACCCAGATAGATTTTTGATAAGCCACGTTTTTATTTTATGAACAAAGATATAAATTAACTATTACTGCTGTAATTTTTTTTTAATTTTCATTTTGAAAAAAAACAAATATTAATATTTGAGACTTCTGTGATAAAGCTAGCAGTGGGTTATTTTCAAAGTTATAGGAACCTACCATCCAAACTATATATATTAGATATAATATGGTTAGCTGTGTATGGCTGACAGAACAGTAATAGATTGGAATAATTACCTGTTTGAAGTTCATAGTTATAGCATTCTAACAGAGCTTCCAGGATGATTGGAGAGCCTAACAGAGTAGTAGAAATCAACCAAGATCATTTTTATGAAAAGCAGAGACGAAGTGTGTTAAATATAGTTTGTTCGTTAAATACAGAGGTATCAGTTCTTTCAGAATTTTGTAGAAGCAGTTTGACGGGATCTCTGCCGACTTTCATGATTTGATAGTAATCAACTTTGACAATCAATGGGATAACATGTAAGAAATGAATATGAACCTAGTTAGTTAAGCATTATTTCAGTCTTAATATAAAATAATAATCTACAAATAAATTCTGGAAGTTCATGTGAAATAATAATACTGTATTCTTTGTTGTTATACTTAACATTGTATGCAAACAACCTTATTGTGAAATTTGTATCTTCAAATATACTGCATGTTTTATAAATTTTCTGTATTGCAGGATCAAAATATTTTGGAGAATGCCCTGTTGAACACTTTATTCCAGTGTATTTAATTGTTGGAGGGATATTTGGTGCTGTAAAAAATATCCTGAGTTTCACAGAAAGGTGTCGAAGAAATGAAAATGAACAAGAACATATAATTCATCGATCTCGAGATAGTTTATTGAACTGCTTTCTTATAGCTTGGTTTATAACAGGTAAAACTTTTTTTATTATGATGCAGATCATTAGTTTGAAATAAAGCTATTAAAACTCAAGCAGTTGTTTGAAACTAGAAGATTCTGTTAAAAATGTATTTGAGACTGAATATTAATACATAATAAAGCTCAACTATCCAGAAGGCTTGGGAAATGCTAAATGTTGAATACATGAAAATTCTGAACAGTTGAGTATATAAAAAATGCAATCCACAATAGAAAAGTTAAATAATTGAAAAAAAAATAAGGTCTAAAATAGTAAAAACAGCCATCTTTTCTCAGCTTGAATATCAAAAGACATTATATAAGAATTTTTTGGGGAAAAGTCATTATATATTATTATATATTTTTAATATATATATTATACTTTTAATATCTATATTATAATATATTAAAAATAATTATATATTATTATATATACTGATTATAAAAGCCAGTGCATTTTCATAGGCCTTAAACATCTGAAAGTAAAACAAATTTATCCAATTATGAAATCATTCATTTATGAAAATTGTCTGTAGTCACTGTGGCAGAAGTTTGAATTTATTGCTGTTTATTTAGTTAGATAATGAAGAAGTACATGTTACAGATATAACATATAAAAAACTTAAATCACTTATTATTATTTTTTATGTTACACTGCCACTATTATCGTTTTCAAAGTAACTTGCATATTATGCCCATTAATGCATATTTTTCTTGATACCAGGATTTTGTAATTTTGTAAATGCTTCAGTATATGCTGTTTCAGGCAGGTCTTGATCATTTTTTTTTAATAAGAGGAAAAAAACAAATATATAGCAATTAACTTATATTCTTCTTTGAAAGAACTATACCGGCTTATCGAAAATCAATTCATTTTATGTAAAATCAAGGCAAAGGTCTTTTGATTGCATTGGTGATGACAAGCTTATCCATTACTGCTGCTAAATTACACTGTTTAATGATAGTTTTTGTTTGTTTCAGGTCATAATTCTATATGTACTGTACAAGTCTCTTATGTGCCTAATTTTTTCTAAAGAAGGGAGAGAAATAAAAAGACTTTTAAAATTTTAAAATATATTAGTTACTTGAAAACTTTCCAGTATGCCAGATAGTTAAGCTTTAACTCTAGTGCCTAATTTTTTGTTAAACCATCATTGTTTTAAATTTCTGCGTGATTTGGCATTGACTGTATTAGAAGGCATAAGGTTACATAAAATGTGTTTGAATTGAGTAGAAAATATAATTTTAAAACTTGCTACTGAGCAAGACTTCTGATTACCAAATGCTATGTTTTATATAATTTCATAAATCTGTCAAGTTTTTTAAATCAAAATGCCAATTGGCTGGAAAGTGACTTGAAAGTCTGATCTCGCAGATCGTTCTTATATAATATGAGCTTGACATAAAAAAAAAAAAAAAAAAAAAAAAATCTTAGAAATATCTAAGGGTTATTATAACTGTAATTATCTGTGATTAATTCTGAGTAAGAAATATGAAACAAAACTTCATATCCTAAAGAAATATGAAGAACATAGAGAAATGTGAATTTCATATTCCTTACTGGAAATAAGAGATTTCTTTGCTTGTTGCAGTTATTATAGGTACCTTTTTTATATACCAGTCATAAATTTTAAAGTAAAGATTAGATATTTTGGTTTAGAAATGAATATTTCATTGTTTAAAATTTTAGGCATAATTCTAGTTATTTATGAGAACACTTTTTTTTTTTTTTTTTTGTATTTAATCCAGGTTTGATTTATCAGTATGTTTTTAGTATAGGTTTGTTTATATAATAAGAAGAGAAGCCATATTTAATTAATTTACTTAGATGCATGTAGAATATTTGTTCAGAATTTAAAAAAAGAATATGAATCATTTGTATTAATTTTTGAGCTTTGCTTATTCCTATGTAATAGTTTGGCACTGATGGTGAAACATGGATTCGTCAGTGCATTTTTGAGGTTACGCAAAGTTTTATGTGTTCAGTTTTGCTCGTATAATAGTTTGGCACTGATTATGCTGAAACAAATGCATTCTTCAGTGTATTTTTGAGGTTGTATTCATGCAAAGTTTCATATGTCAAGTTCCTTTTTACATTTTACATACATATTAACAAGCAAGAAGATCAAGGCTGTAGTTACTTTTATTGTTAATATACCTTATTGCTACTTACTCATCAAAATTTAGGTTGTTATTTCTCACTTATAGTTGGAAATCATTTATTGCCTTTCTGAACATTAAAAAGTCTGCATTGTAATTTAAAAATCTGCCAGTTTTACAAAGACTATTTTTAAATTTTAAATTGCAAGTCTGATTTTGCCTTTTTTACTTCCTTGTACGAAGTAAAGGAAGTATTGTAATCGAAACAAATTCCAGGTGCCATATTTTAATGAAAATATCCATTCTGACCACTGCCGAATGCAATTTAATGATGTTTTTGTGCAACATCTGTATGTAAGGACAGAATAAAGGACTCTTTTTCCCCTAAACAAATTATAAAACTGGTTTAAAATGTATTCAGAAGAGATTTTTTTCATGGCGTCTATGTGTATGAACGTACGTGCATACATACACTCATGTTTGTGAAAATTGCAACACCAAGAAGGAATCGTCATAATTGAATGCAATTTAATACACAGTTGAGTGGTAGTGGTACAAATAAATGATTAAATGTTCAAAGCAAACAAACAAGAACAAGAGATCAGAATCAGTATTTTGTGTGGCCACCACGCGCCGCAATAAGTGCTGTTACACGACGTGGCATTGAGTCAAACAAAGTTTGAATGTCTGACTGAGGAAGAGCATTCCATATCGTTTGTACGCGTACCCAAAGTTTGTCTGCAGACGCAACAGGACGAGGATCACGAGCAAGACGCCGACCAATGACATCCCAGACATGTTCAATTGGCGACATATCCGGGGAACACGCAGGCCAAGGAAGAAGCTGTACCTGCTGCGCTGCAAAGAAGGATTTAACAATCCGAGCAGTATGAGGGTGGGCATTGTCCTGTTGAAATACAGCGCCTGGCAAGCTTTGAAGGAAGGGAACAGCTTCGGGCTGTAGAACTTCACGGATACACCGGTTGCTGTTCAGATTGCCCACAATTCGTAGCAATTGAGATCGTCTATGATATGCTTTGGCGCCCCAGACCATAACTCCGGGTGTTCGTCCACTGTGGCGTTCGATAATGCACTCCGGAAGGTGGCGTTCACCGGCATAGCGTCTGACACGAATGCGGCCATTATGGTACCACAAATTAAAGCGGGATTCGTCAGAAAACACGACATGCTGCCAATCAGCACGCCAGTCTCTATGCTGATTGGCCCATTGTAGCCGCAGGCGGCGATGGTCGTGCGTTAGGGGGATCCTGTATAAAGGAATCCGTGCGCGCAGTCCACACTGCAGCAGACGTCTACGAATTGATGAAGCACACAATGAAACACCTGTAGCTATTGACCACAGTGCTGCCAATTGTCTAGAGGAAGCTGTACGGTCCATCCGCGCCATGCGGACCAGGTGTCTATCATCGCGAGCTGACGTCACATTTCGGGGTCCACTCCCGGATTTCCGAGTTGTCCGACACTCGTCCGTCCACTGCTTCCAAACGCGCATCACTGTGCTGCTGTTACGCTGCACACGAGAGGCTACTGCACGATACGACAATCCAGCTTCACGAAGGCCGATGATTCTCCCTCGTTCAAACTCTGTAAGTTGTTCAAATCTCGCTCTCTTTCGTCGACGAGGCATAAGTACAGATTGAGTTAACGTTTACCACTAGCAGATAACCACCGATAACCATACACTCCTCGCTACAGCCGTCTATTTATTCAGATCCATCAGCCGTTCAGAGGGCGCTGCTCAGCATACGCATGCGCTACGGATTTGCAATTCTAATCATTTGCATATCATGCGCTACTTTGCATTTCCTGAAAATTTCAGCTCACTCGCGTAAGTCCTTCATGGTGTTGCAATTTTCACAAACGTGAGTGTATGTATATATGCATCTCGCCTAACTCAAAAACGAGTAGCCTCAGAGCATTGAAATTTTATATATAGGACTGCTATAACATGTAGATGTGCATCTCCCTTTTTTGGTTGCAGTTGGGCACACTAAAAGTATATATATATATATATATACCCACTCTGTTACTCGGCTCAGTGAGCTCAGGTTTTTATTCTTATATGTTGGTAAATTAGGCATTTTTTTGCTCTAAAAATGAATGAATTATGTTGTTCTTATCTTTCGGTTAAGGTTTTTTTATGCTTTTAGTTAATCTGCATGCAATATTTGTAGAGATATCAACAATTTAAAAGTTGTTTAAATGCAGCTAAGCCTTATTTTTTTACTATAGCAGCCATATTTGTTTACATTTGAAACTTAGCAGAATAGTGAATTCAGTTTCTGCACCTTCAGTGTCCTTTTTGCCAAGTGGGACTAAAGGAAACTTAGTTTTGTGCACCGAAAAATATGCCTTCTTGCCGAATTGCTCGTTATTACATAGAAACTGTAATATTATTGGTGTTTTATGTTTCCCTATATCTTTCAATTTTTAATGAACATATTTTGAGTTTTTATGCATTTTTGCTTTGCCACAAAATGAGAACTGAATTAATTAAATGAGAAATATATCTCATATTAGCAGTAAATAGTATTGCCACCAGTCTGTCTCGGACAGAGGAGAATGTTTACGAGTAGCACATGCGCATTAGGTAAAAATCGTCTGTGAAAAAATGTTTCATTTTTTGTTTAAAATTCTTTTATACATCAATTTAGATTTATTATAGTATTTGAATAGAACATGTGGCAACAATTAGATAATTCTTCAAATGATATAATTTTTATGCATTCTAAGATATAAAATGAATGAGATGTAAGGCTGTTAAGTGAACCTCATGCCAGAGTCTTGCTGTGGTAAATAAATATAGTGAATTTTAAAGAGTGCCTTTATTCTATTGTGTTTTATGCGCTATCGATGAAGAAGATTTAATTCAATTAAATAAGTTTAAATGAAATGCAGGAAAAAATGCATATAATTTAAGATTCCGTACTGGGAAGTCATGTGGTGTACACATCAGATCTTTGTATATTGTATTTCTGATATATAAGCATTTTTGTTATTGAGTGAATCTGACCATCCTTTCTTTGAAGAAATTTGACTTCCAAAATGGTGCAGAACAGTTTTATGGGCATTAACATTAATCCAGCACTGATTTACCACCCAAAAGTTCCTTATATGTAAAGCAATAGTTAGTTTATGAAAGAGTAGTTGTAGAGAAGAGGGTTGAGGATTTTTCTTGATGGTTTTAAATAATTACTAGCTTTTTTTAGGTATGACAATTCCTGTTCAGAATAGATGGTTTCTCCTTGAGGCAAAAATTCAACAAAAGAATAACTTTTTTATCCCCAAAACGTCATTGCTGTGAATTTCAGAGTTGAAGATGTGTGCTTGAATTTTTAATTTAATTCATTATTGCGGATGGTGGTATTCAAAAGACTATTCTGTATTCTCTAAGACATATTCGCGTCTATATCTAAATAATCCAGAGATTCATATTTTTTGTATAATAGTACTCCAGATGATGCAATTCAGATCATTTCTTTTTTGTTCGTGTGTTCCAGTTAAAATGCTTGGGACTTGCTAACATGCATCTCTTACTAATTCTTTCCACGATCCTATTTTTCTAGAATTCTTGTATGTTTTGTTGATTTTTTATTCTAGGTATTAAAATATTTTCAAGAACATTAACTTGCTCTGAATTTATTTTCTGACATAACAAAACCATATCATTTATTAAAGAATAAGAATGAAGTAAGTTGCTGCATTTTTTAATTGACAAAGATTGTAAAAAATTATCTGTTTCCATAGCATAGTGAAACAAGTCTCATTTTCAGTGAAACAGTTAGGGATTGCATACATCAGTGATTTTATTGAATACTTTGTGAATAGGATGATTGCATTTCGGCAGATGTATACTCAAGTTCATAAAACCAACTTGAATGGGCAAAACATTGTTTAACAGTATAATCTCTAGGTAGATGAGCTGAAATATATTTTGGTCACAATTTATTACTATAGACTTTTACTGCAGATGATCATCTAAATAATTGAAAAACAGGCACTTACAGATGAAATTTGTATCTTTTTATAAATGCCAGTATTGGGATGAATGTTGTATAAATAGAATAACAGAATTTGGCCATTTTTCACAAATGAATATATTTTACACATGGTACAAGAATATGGTCTAATAATATTTTTTTACCATATAAATTATTTAATTTTTAAGTATATAAACAATATGTAATTGATTTTCTGAATATACACAACCATTTTTAAGGAGGAGCATAGTTTGTTAGGTTGCTTCTTCTGAAATAAATGGGGATTCTCAGGAAGGACTGGGCTATGTAGGTCATGGCATAGCACTTGAATGCTATCTGCCTCAGAGAAGGGATGTGTTCATGAAGAATCTTTTAAGGGAAAGTGGCTCGTGTTTTTGTTATACAAGAGGAAAATTATGAAAACTCCCATGCTACTAACACATTAACTAGGATTTGAACCCAGACCGAATTATAGCATTCAGGAAATTTACTATGCAGCCATTGGTGATCTAGTTTTCAAGCAAGAAAAACTGTGTAAATATGTAATTAAGGAAACATAACCTTTGTTTATGCAAAGAATAGTTTTTTAATTGCATATTTAAAAAAATTATTGCATTCATTGTAATGCAAATTCATTATAACATTGTATAAGAAGAAAATTTTCATGTTTTCCCCCATGTGTAATGTAAAGGTCTACAAACTACATCCTGCAGGCCAAAACCAGCCTGCTAGCATCATCATTCGGACTACAGTAATGGGTGTAACATGCCTGGTATCTGGCCTGCCACAGTTTATTTTAATTATATTTTAAAATTTACTACATGAATAAATCTCAAAAGTAATAATCAGAAGAAACACAATAACTGATATTCAGAATGAGACTGAACATTTTAATTGTAATTAATGATATGAAATTTGGTTTTATTCACAGAATGAAATTAAATATTATAGTTATCATTAATGAGGTTTATTTAGCAGTAACTTTCCACTGGCAGTTGTTTGTAGTTGTGGATTAACACAACTGACAGTTTTATAAGCGGGAGATGCTTATAAAATTTCAGCAATGATGAATTTAAATATATTTCTATAAAAATACCACTATGTTGCAAATTTGTCACTTCCATTTGAAATTTTGGGGCAAGGGTTCCTATGTTAGTGTTAAAAAGATTTTGAAAAATCTTGATGTCATTTGCAATTTCTTCAAAATCTGTAAAACAAGGCTCAAAATTTATTTTTAAAGCACCCAAAGCTTCATTCACAAAATCTGCTGGAAATGAAATCTCAGTTTGTTGACTGAATGTTTTGCATGCATTAAAATGTGTGAAACATTTTTTTGTTCAAATGGAATCGAAACAAAACAATTTTTAGTCAAAAGGACTTAAATATGATTATATAAATCTGGCATAAACTGATTTTCCTCTTGTAATTTTAAATTAAGATCATTCCTATGTTGAGTTAAATATGTGTAAAAGGATAACTTCCATAACCACACATTGTTTTGCAACTCAACAAAAGGATGATTCTTTTCATTCAAGAAAATTTTCAGAATTTCCCAGAGAAATAGTACTAGAAATTGTTTTTATCACAAATTGTGAATGCTTATTCATCAATTGAGTTCTTATCTTATCGTGTGTCGTGTGTGTAAGTTGCATATTAAAAAAAATTATGGCATTCATTGTAATGCAAATTCATTATAACATTGTATAAGATAAGAAGAAAATTTTCATGTTTTCCCCCATGTGTAATGTAAAGGTCTACAAACTACATCCTGCAGGCTAAAACCAGCCTGCTAGCATCATCATTCGGACTACAGTAATGGGTGTAACATGCCTGGTATCTGGCCTGCCACAGTTTATTTTAATTATATTTTAAAATTTACTACATGAATAAATCTCAAAAGTAATAATCAGAAGAAACACAATAACTGATATTCAGAATGAGACTGAACATTTTAAGTTCAGAATGAGACTGAACATTTTAAGTTTCAGTCGTGTGTGAGGAAAGGTGGCCACATAAATGTTTTCCCAGACAAAATAATTATTCCTAGAGCAAAAATTCATAACTGAGGGTACTTATTTTTTGACAAGCATGAATAAAATTTAATAAAAGTAACTTTGCATCTTTCAATGAGATTTATATCACAGTGTAGTAAATTAGTTTCATTTATAGATATTCTGGTGCTTTATTCATGTCTTTTTTAATAGAAGTGAAAATAATGTGAACTTTGATTTTAGAGAACTAAAATCTTGAAACAGTTTTAACACTATACTTATAACAAATAAATTATTGAAATGCATTCGTGGGCTACATAAAATTGCTCCAGGGGCTACCCATGGCCTACAGGTCACTGTTTAAGACTACTGGTTTAAATAATCCAATTTCATCCACATCATTGAATATTTTTCTGTTCATGGGCATTTTTAGTTATGAACTTGAAGCAGTAAATATGCAAGTTGCTGAATATGGACAATTTCATGCTTTCTCGAAAACTGTCACGCAGTCTAGAGCGAATAGGCCACTGTCTTTATAATAATTTTTAATTTGCCATAATATCCATTTGATTTGTCATAATGTAGTAGTAACTATGCTGTGGATATAATGTTATAGCTCAGAGCTGTCCTGCTTGTTGATAAATTGTGCTGTTAATATGTGCACAGTATGATGCTTTAATTTCCAAAGCATAACAAATGATTTAAGTTGAAAGTGATGACATTTAGATTGGTTTTACTCTGGTTTTACACTTCAATTTTTCTAAGTAAATTTAGTTAGGCTGGTCGTACTAATTATGTGATACTAAATGAGTACTAATCTTTTGTAACTGTTGACTGGCATGTAAAGAAATATATAAATATGTTTTTGCATATAAATATCAGGTAAAATAAATCTTTATACCATTTATAAAATTTTATTTTAAATTAATTCTGTACAAATTATATTTATAGGTTGCATTTGGACTTATAGAGTCTATGAACCTGAGTATGAAGATACTAGCAGTCCTCTCTACTGCAACAAAACACTTTATCTGTTTGCCTTCTGGTTAGTAACTACATCCTTCATAGTCGTTGGACTTATGAGCATGTTTATAATGTGTTTCGTTATATCATCGATTGTTACTAGTATTGAATAATTATTGTATTATATCTCAATTTTATTTCATGCATAAATATTTGTTAACTAAAATTACCAGTTATGTAGTATTTCTAATCACATGTGAATGTTGAGGGTAAAGCCCTTGAAATAAGCTTATAGAATATTAATTTGTAAATAAATTCTGCAGTTTATTTTAATATTTTTTTAATGCAGGATATTTCGAATTTTTTATTGATTTATATTTATTATTTGTTTGAAATAAATTTAGGAAACCGGTGTATTCCAAAATTTTATTTACACATGACTAAAAAGAGCTTAAATGGACTTTATAAATTAGGGAGCTTGCAGTTATTTTATTATAGTCATATACTTGTCATTTAGAGTTGAAAAGGATAAAGTATTTACTCATTTGGAATTCAGGCAATTTTAATTTGGGTACCTGATCAGAGTTATATTTGGATGTTAATTTCTCAGTAATAACTGTTTTGTTAGAGCAGTTTTCTGTATGTTTGTTAATTGTTTTGGAAGTTTATTATGAAATTCTGTATGACAAAAAATTATGGGTTGTTTTGATGAAAAATTTTATGCTTTTATACGTATTAAGCATGAATTCTGAATGAATGTTTGTGTTTATTCTCTGTGATATGGCTTTCTTAAATCTTCAGATATTTTCAGTGTATATTTATAGTTTACTGTATTTAAAACACTTGAATGATAATGGAGAGAGTAGCATGGTAATTTACAAATTGACAATTATATCTTTATCTTGTTATCAATCAAAAAAAGGTGATTACACTTTGAGATACAGAAAAGTGATTTCTCACCATGAAATATATTGAACCTATTTATATAAAAGGCAGAATTTTTAAAAAGATAAAAGATAACTTTACCAATTAGTAGGTGCATGCATGAGAAATGCATTAATTTTTGTATATGAAGCACAGTTTTTATCTACAACTTATTTTTGCTTTCAAAATATGAAAATTTTATTTTTGTAAATTTGTATATGTGGATTTTTCTTTTTAAACCCTTATTTAAATTTCCCAGGTATTAATTATGATTCTTTTAATGATTTTCTAGGATTGTTTTTATATAACATGTTATAGCATTGCAAATAATTATAAACATAAATTTTGTTATATATTATTATGTAGATAGTTTTATGCTGTTAAAACAAGAGGAAGAGGGAGAAAAATAAGCCTTTTAACCTCCCCCCTTGGTTGTTGTCTTGAAAATTTGATTTTAATATAAAAATTTCAAGTGTACTATAAAAGTACAGTAAATATTTCCTACTTGAGTGTTAATCACTACCGTCTTGTATACTGCCAGCAAATTTTGGCAATGGAATGTATTTTTTATGTCAGCAGATTGATTAATCAGGCTTTTTGATTTTTGGATATTGCTTGGCAGTTGCATTCAAAATTGCATTGAATAAATTTATATTTTTTCCCAGCTTGTTTGTCTCTCAATAGAAACTGTATTGATTAAAATGGCAAATCATTTTATTTAAACTAATTTATGATTTTTATTTTAACACTTTATCAGTAGTTAGTGCATTTCTGTCATACATACAGTTTCATTCTATGAAAATTAGCAGAACAGCTAAAATTTTTTGACAAACTGCCACATGCCTGGAAATAATGAATTGCTTCAGCAGATTTAGTAAGTGCATGATTGAAAATAAAGTAAAATTCAGTACGGGGCAAACTAATATTGTCTCACAAACTTTCTATGGAACTACAAAAGTACAGTAAATATTTCCTACTTGAGTGTTAATCACTACTGTCTTGTATACTGCCAGCAAATTTCACAAATTTTTCAGGTTGTCAAAAATGACACAATGTAGATATATGCTGCTTTTACTTGGTCTAAAGTTGATGTAAGTATAAAGAAAAGCCGTTTTTACTTTTTTTTAATCCCTCCCATCCCTGAAAAATGGAATAAAAGGGGGGGGGAGAAACAAGAAGTAGAATTTTTTTTTAGAAGCACCTGGAATAACTTCTAAGGTTTTCACAATGCTTGTTGGACAGCAGAATCATAGATGGTATTGGCAGTTTATCAGTAGGCTAATATTCAAGTACCAAGTATTTTCCTTTCTATCAATATTTCCAAAGCCAGGATATTTTTAATTATCAATTTACAGTGATATAGCTTCTTTCAGTTTTAAGTTTAGAAGAATTGTACATTTAATGAGCTAGTAGAATTAACTGTACCTGGTGATCAGTTCCCCCCCCTTCTCTCTATCATCATACATTTTGAAAAATAATCTTCATTAAAATGCATCATTATGAGTCATAATATTTCAAAATTTTCTTATTTAGTTAAAAACATCAAAAATTTGTTTTGTGTGTGATAGTTTTCCTTTTCTGTATCAGTGTTTGTTTGTTTTATTAATGTATGACATTAGTAATTTTTATTGATGTTATTAGAAAGTATATATTTGATATATACAAAAATCTTGCATTATTTTCCATATTAATATGTTATTTATACTTCTTTGCATTGTATATTATGATTTTCTATTTTAAATTATTTTAAATCTTAAAGCTAATCTTAAGCTAATCAAAACCACATTTGCCTATATATCCTATAGAATCACAATGAAGAAATTTTTTTTCTTTTTCCTTCACAAAATTCTGTATGTATTTTTTATTAATAATGGTAATAATACTTATGATTATGGACTTTGTGATTTGTTAGTGATACATTCTTTTTCTAGTTTAATTTGAGTATTTTTTAATTGAATTTTTGTAATTTCTTGAGGGAGGGAAATGTTTTTAAGGAGCATACTTAGAGGGAAATGATTTGTGGATTCTGAAAATAAATCCATGCTTAGTGTAAAGCAAATAGAGAAAAGTCCCGTTTTGGTGCAACTACATTAAATCAGTGAATCTGAAAATGAGTCACCTGTAGTTTTTTTTTTTTAAATCACGTTACTTTTCTTAGTTTCAAAAATCTACGTACGAAAGATGGCAAAGATGATGAACTATGAAATCTTCTCAAAAGATGATTTCCAAGTACATGTATATATTGATAATTTTATGTGAAATGAAATTTGCTTTGTTCTGTAAAAGTTCCTGAAAATAAATAAACTGCCAGAGATGAAAACAAAAGTTTTAATCAAGTTGTAGAAAATGTTTTGCCACATCTTCCAAATAAGTTTCTGTCATACAGTAAGGAAATTTATCAAAGCACTGTCATTAATGTTGAAACTTTATGGAACTGTTGACTTAATTATGTTATGAGATCTTAGGTTTTTATAAGTTTTCATTTTTGGGGTGGGGGTAATACTTATGCATTTAAACTGATGCAGTATTAATTTGGAGTATCACTTTTTGAACTTCATCTATGTGATTTAATAGTTAAAAATTAGTTTTAATAGAAATAAACTCTTTCCTTCTTTTCTCATGACTATTTGTTAGTGTGATTTAAATGAAAATAAAAAAATTTTAAAGATAAATTTGAAGTGTATTTTATGCAAACCTTATTCAAAATTAATTTTATTGTTAAAAATGCAATAATTAATAATTTTATTTCCTCCCCCTCCCTCTCTGATGTAAATGAGCTTTATCGTGAGTTATCTGAAAATAAAAAGTGTTAGCCAAAGTGGCTTTGCCATAGTTGGTTCAGATAAACAGGGTTCTGATGTACTTTTTGATTCTTTCAGGGATATATAGATGGGGCAAGATTTATGTGTATTATGTATAGCTTCCCAAGATGTAATTATGAAGGTTAGTCTTTTCAATCAAATAAGAAGTAACGCGTCATTTAAGATTTTTTAATGTTTGTAAATACAGGAGATAAAAAATTTAAAACAGGAAAATGACAAATGCAACAGCAACAACACAACAAAAAAAAAAAAAAAAAAAAAAAAAAAAAAATTGTTTGAATCTACTATAAACAAATTTCTCGTTTATTTCATTTCAACAGTTATGTTTAATTGTGTGCCGTCCAGATCAGGAAAATGATTGACTCTGACTGCCATACCTAAGGGCCGGGTTTGAATCCCGGAGAAGGCATGGATGTAAATTGTCTGTCCCTTCATAGAAGGCAACAGTGGGCCACCTATTTGGTGCCTCTATAATAAAGTGACCAATGTCTATGATGCTATTGGGGGGGGGGATTTTGTAGCTATAGGCTTCCCACTTACTCAAGAAATCATAAATTGTCAGAGAAATTTAAAATATTCATGGAAAATTAATGAAAATATATATATATATATATATTGTTGTTGTTGTTGGTCAGAAGCAAAATAAATCTGTTCAGCAGAATTTAAACATAATAAAAAGTTCTACCTAACAGAATCTTTTTCTCTTGATGTAGAGGGACCTTTACCTGTTTTTGCCCTCAAAATCAACAGAGTTTTAGTGTAAATTTGCGCCGGATACAAGGTTGCTGTTTTGCATAATTTTAGTTTTACTTGTTTTTCTTCTCTCTTATTAAGTTCATGTTTTAAATAGTAACTTTAAAACAAATTAATTATCTTTTAAGATGATAGCTTGAAAGTTGCTGTAATCTTTGAATTTCTTTCTCAGAGTATTACACTCTCTTCTTATCTGAAATAATATTATCACCCCTAGCTGTGCTGTTCAACTTCTAGTAAACTGTTGTTTTTTCATTCTCTTTAGAAATGTAATTGCCTTTCAAAAATGAATTGTGTAATTTAAAAGTCATTTCTCTCTATAAAATTTTTTATGTTATAGTAAGTCACTATATTAATTTTACTTTTAAATTCAGTATGATTCTTAGCTCTTCAAATTTATTTTGGTAACACTATAGTAGTGTTTATTGTGAATAATTATCCTGTATGGTGATCTTTCTTTACAGTTTTGTTCCAGAATTTAATGTTTATTTTTTTGAAACCCTCTTTAGTTTATTGAATGGTTTTATTTATTTGATTCACAATAAAAAGTAATAAAATCTTATTACTATACTTAGTTATTTTGCTACATAGTAAATACATAAAAACATTCAATTACTTGTACATAATTTGATGATTAGTTCATTATGCATGGTCTTGGAATGATCATACATAATGAACTATACTTATAGGCTTCCCACTTACTCAGGAACTAAATATACTATACTACTAAATAATTTTAGAACTGTATCTGAAATGATAATAAATTATAGATACCCACCAAATATTTGTTTATAGATCTTAATAACAATGCAAATTTAATTACCATTAGTATATTAATGAGCTGTATTCTTTGTAGTTCATAGATTATGATTCTGCAAAAAATAATGATTCTTTCTTCAAAGAGGTTGGACTTAATTGTAAGGAAAGATTATGTTAAAATATAAGTTTTTTTTATTTCTTCGTTATTTAAGATCAGTCTTACTGCAGGATACTTGTGTGATAGTTTCTTTTTCATTATGAACCATACATTATAATATGTTTTATAAAAAACATTGATAAGTGCTCTTTTATAATGCACTTCTTTTTATATGAACTAATTAAACACTTTATAATTGTTCCCCCCCCTTTTTCACTTTACGTTAGTCGTTTCTTAATGTGAGCTGTATATTCAAATTGAACATTTGTCCATTTAACCTTTTTAGTATTTAATAATTAACTATATCGAGTTAAACCCCCCCCCCACCCTCCATATATATATGTGTCTTATATAAAATATAATGTTTGGGTGGAGTATTTTTAATTCGTGGTGGATTATGTTTGAGAGAAAAACCTAGAGGACGGCATGCTGCTTCTTAATCAAGATGCATTTAAACTGCCATAATACTTGTGTTAAATATATATTATTGCCATAATTGAATATTTTATATATATAAATACATGACTCTAATTATTTATATTAAAATAATTGGTATTAATTTTTGTATTTTGTTTAGATGCCGTTTAACATTGTGGAAAGTTGGAAGTGACATTTTCTTTTTTTTTTTAAAAAGTATAATTAATAAATTTCTTGTGTTTAGCCAGTGGCCGAGTTAGCGTGTCTAGTGTGTCGTGCACCTCAAGGTTTCTGATTCATTCAATCCCCGGGCATGGTTCAGCTCTTTTATTCCTATATGGGTCAATTAAATGAATACCAAGTTCGCTTGGGTTCTAAATAATGGGGATCCTGCGACAAGCTGACCACTTGCCCAGGGCATATGCTGATGCACTCTGGTGCCCAAGGTCAAGAAAGCAGGTTTTGGGGCACTGCAGGCCGTGGCCCTCTAGGGCTGTTGCACCACTGAGTTTAGTTTTCTTTTTAGTTAGATTATTATTTATTTACAGGTACTTCACAAAGTTGATAACATTTAGACAGTGGATTTTTCATTCTTTGCAATCAGAATTTATCACAAAATTGTATACGCACGTATATTTTTGGAATTTTAAAAACAATTTTTTATTTATTTTGTTTTATTTATTTATTTATTTTAAGAACAAGAGCCAAAAATTAGCTAAAGGATAATTTAATAATTTCCATGTTCCATTTGTGTATAATATGCTGGTCAAGCCAGCAGATCTTCAGAGCTTCATCTTCTGTTTTGTAATCACAAGGAGCACAAATGTTTTATTACCATCTTGATTGCTTGCTTAATATAATCCTGAGAAAGACAATATCTTTTAGATGCACTAACAAAATGGTATTCTTTACCCTTTAATCTTTTGTTTCACATTTCACTGTATTTAAATAATCTATAAATTGCTGGTTATATTGCTTAAACTTGCTGCAAATTATGTAATCAATTTCTGAATCATTAAATAAGAGCAATGTATTTTAAAAAAGCAGTGTTTTACAAAATAATGAAATATACCACTTTGAGGATTAATAAGCTGGATTTAGATATTAGTAACATAGAATATTATTGGAGATAAAAATACTGCAATAGCAAAAAATATTTGGTCCTTTTTGCTTTCCGTCCAAGCTTGCACATGAAGAGTTTGAATTTTAAAAAGTTATTTTACCATTAAAAAGCTATTTATTCCATCTGATTGAGATAATTGTGATTTTCTTCCCTACCCCATTCTGCAATCTGTGTCATAATTTCATTCCAAGAAAAGTTTCTGTACAGAAATTTTCTGTATTTTCTTTAGGAATTTATCTCATTATCTTATCAGATGTTTTCTCGGAAAATCAGTGTTTTTAAAGTGTATAACGATTTATTCCAAGAACATTTTACCGCAAAAGTATTTTATGTCACAATGACAAATTTTGTTGAAAATTAAACTGCCATGTTTTTTCTTTCTCTTTTTACCTTTTATTGTATTGCAAGCCATTATTACAACTTAATAATAAAAGATTGCAGTGAAAAATACATTTACTTTTGAATTAAAAATAATTTAAATTGGTTGATCGTATTAATATAGATCATATACAACATATGTTTCACCAGTGGCTGAGTGGTAAAGTTAACGGAACATTGATATTTTGATCTGGATCCGTTCCCAGGTGAATAGAAATTCCTCTGCAGAGGCATCACTTCCCTTAGGCAAATATCCAGTCAAACAAATTCAAAGTCACATATAATTTACAGTTTATTTTACAGCTAAATATCATGAAAATTGTTTTGGACCTTGTTCTGATTTCAGTGCATTTATTCTTGTGATTTTTAATTTCATTGGTATTTTATTTGCATTTCATAGCACTTTGCATATTTTGGGCTATTCTGAATTTCAGTTTTATAAAAATGTTTGAATAACATAATAAAAAAAAATAATGCATTTGAAATAATTATTAGCCCCCCAAATCATTAATCTTCAATTAATTTTGGAGTTTTAAGAATTTAACTAATGTAAAGCAACAGAAAATTTTGAAACTGTTTAATATGTTAGTTGAATGTCCTTATAAATGCAAATGTCTCTGACTAGAACATTTCTAATATTTATTCATTAACATTAACAATATGAAATTTGGAAGTTAACATACAAATAATATTTTGGCATAAACTATTATTGCATTTAAATATTTTTTAAATAAAAAAAATCAAGTGTTCACCTTTCTAAGAATTTTACTATTAATTCGAACACATATTTCAAATTCATTCTTAAAAATGGTAAAATTACAATTTTTGTTTACACAGTAGGATTCATAGGATTATTTTAATAATACATGATTGAATAATTGATTAAAATATTTGTATAGCTCTACAAGAGAGCTTTTAATGTTAGTTGCCATAAATCCTTCAATAACATTACTCACTTTTTTGTTACAATATATAGAACTGAAAATTACTATTTCATTAATGTGTTACCATGCAACATTATTGTCATGCAGAAAATACTCATTGAAGAACACTGGGATAACTGTAATGCATTTACTCATGAGACTGAAATGCACATTTTTACTAATCATGGGAAAATTATATGAAAGCAAATTTACCTCGATAATTTTTATGATTATTAGTTTTTAAATTTCCACTGTTGGCACAGATCTGCACATTTTAATTTTTGTCATCTATGGCTTATGAATAGCACTAATATATTTTCTTATTGAAATTTCTTGATGTCATGGCTGAATTCATTAAAATGTTTCTCTCTGTTTGTTTGTTTGTGTAGTGTATGCTTTAAATATTTTTATGATCTTTAATGTTTTTATAATTGCTTTTAATTGTCCTGTATGTATTTGTGTGTACATATATATACCCATAAAGATAATGTTTCCACTTCTAATCTAGTCTTGAATCTGACAGATTATTTTTTGCACCATATTGTGCAGAGCTTTTAGCATATGTTTGTAAATAGTATTATGTTTACTGTGTATTATCTAGGAAACTTGCAGATTTGAAATAGTTAGTTTTTGTAAATTACGACAAGAACATTTTTAATAAAATTGCTTTTAAAATACATGTATATGATTATAAATTTGAAATGGCAGGCATACTTTTGAAATTGCATTTTAAACTAT